AAAAAGCTACAACTTCATCAGACAAAAATCCCATCATAACTAGTTTAAACACTAGAAAATTCACAATCGAAAATAAATTGCTCATAAACTTGGTGCTCGTATCATAAAATGTTGTTCCGCCATGCTTGAAATCTTCTCGTTTTTAATTTTTTGCTTCATCAATCATAAGTAAGTGTAACTTTGGCTATTCAGATTGTTTCTTTCTTTTTCACAATTTCTGCTATTTGTCCAAGGAATATGTACATAAATGAGTACATCACTTCTATACACACATCAACAAATATCACTGATATTAGTCAACCTTTAGAGGTTCGCTAGACACAGTTCATTTACATCAACTTTATAAACTGCAAAACAGTTGAAATTATGTCAAGCCCTGTAGACTGTAGTATTTTGTTTTCACAACGTTCGGAGATCATACAAAACATAGAGTATTGAACCTCCCATTGTCTTTATAGCCGAATCTCCAGTATCTGTTATGTCCTTAATTCATCAAAAATTTAGGCTCTAAAGCGATCTATACACTAGTAGCTAACTATTGAGCAACTCTATTTGTATTGGAGTAATTTGGCCGAACGTAAATACATATATAATAAAAGAGACATAAACATTATATTCATTGAGCATTGGAGTTTCCATAATTGACATTTCTCAACTCAACACATCAATTATCTGTTAAGTAAAATCAATATACTCTCTTGAGAGTTATTTTTCGAAGTAAAATATACTTATTATTGATATTGGAAGACTTACAGCTGCAGATCGTGGATATAATTGTGAAAATCTTTAGTCCAAACTCTACAATTTAGAGGGTCTCAAGCACCCTACCAGTGTGTTTCCTACGACAAAATAATCACCATCCTTGCATGAAGTCTCAAGCACCCTACCAGTGTGTTTCCTACGACAAAACAATCACCATCCTTGCATGAAGTCTCAAGCACCCTACCAGTGTGTTTCCTACGACAAAATAATCACCATCCTTGCATGAAGTCTCAAGCACCCTACCAGTGTGCTTCCTACGACAAAACAATCACCATCCTTGCATGAAGTCTCAAGCACCCTACCAGTGTGTTTCCTACGACAAAACAATCACCATCCTTGCATGAAGTCTCAAGCACCCTACCAGTGTGTTTCCTACGACAAAATAATCACCATCCTTGCATGAAGTCTCAAGCACCCTACCAGTGTGTTTCCTACGACAAAACAATCACCATCCTTGCATGAAGTCTCAAGCACCCTACCAGTGTGTTTCCTACGACAAAATAATCACCATCCTTGCATGAAGTCTCAAGCACCCTACCAGTGTGTTTCCTACGACAAAACTATCACCATCCTTGCATGAAGTCTCAAGCACCCTACCAGTGTGTTTCCTACGACAAAATAATCACCATCCTTGCATGAAGTCTCAAGCACCCTACCAGTGTGTTTCCTACGACAATATAATCACCATCCTTGCATGAAGTCTCAAGCACCCTACCAGTGTGTTTCCTACGACAATATAATCACCATCCTTGCATGAAGTCTCAAGCACCCTACCAGTGTGTTTCCTACGACAAAATAATCACCATCCTTGCATGAAGTCTCAAGCACCCTACCAGTGTGTTTCCTACGACAATATAATCACCATCCTTGCATGAAGTCTCAAGCACCCTACCAGTGTGTTTCCTACGACAAAATAATCACCATCCTTGCATGAAGTCTCAAGCACCCTACCAGTGTGTTTCCTACGACAAAATAATCACCATCCTTGCATGAAGTCTCAAGCACCCTACCAGTGTGTTTCCTACGACAATATAATCACCATCCTTGCATGAAGTCTCAAGCACCCTACCAGTGTGTTTCCTACGACAAAATAATCACCATCCTTGCATGAAGTCTCAAGCACCCTACCAGTGTGCTTCCTACGACAAAATAATCACCATCCTTGCATGAAGTCTCAAGCACCCTACCAGTGTGTTTCCTACGACAAAATAATCACCATCCTTGCATGAAGTCTCAAGCACCCTACCAGTGTGTTTCCTACGACAATATAATCACCATCCTTGCATGAAGTCTCAAGCACCCTACCAGTGTGTTTCCTACGACAAAATAATCACCATCCTTGCATGAAGTCTCAAGCACCCTACCAGTGTGTTTCCTACGACAAAATAATCACCATCCTTGCATGAAGTCTCAAGCACCCTACCAGTGTGTTTCCTACGACAAAATAATCACCATCCTTGCATGAAGTCGTCTAAAGTCACTTAGGTTAACTGCTGTGAACTGTCCATCAATAGATAATCATCTTGGACAAAAATGAAAATATATTCTCTTACATCGAAGCACACACACATTGAAGTAAGAGACAAATCTTTAGAGTCCGTTACATCTTTGTATTCTCTCTATGTGTGAAATGGTAGTAATGACATATACAGGGTACTTCAAAAACAACGAAATCGTTCATCGAAACACGTTTATACATACATATTGATTGAATTAGTTATTTTGCTGCATAAATTAAACAGCATTGACAGGTCTTATTTCATTCCTTTAAGAAGTAATGGCTTTGTCAATGCATGAAACTGATATGAATTTCATAGAATACTGTTAAATTTATGCAGCAAACTAATTCAATATGTATGTATCAATCAGTGTTCTCCAGTTTTTTAAACACTGTATATAGCTGTGGTTCAAGCAGAGGCATAACGTTCATTGGAGAGTATTGATGGTTAGGTCGGTAGTTGTATATTCATATATTCATTTTAGGCCTACTTATTACATTTGAAATAAAATTCACTTACAAAAGATATCAGTATAGAATATAAGTTAATAGTTAAATACACATCACCACATTTAACGTTTTATTTACGAATTTTTGGTAGTGGGCATATAAATGCATAGATTGGTATTTACAATCTTAAACAATCTTACTTGGTGTAGGCACGATCCTTATGGAGCCTCCCATCCACTAACGTTGGCTAGAGTGAACTATTCATAAAACCAGAAAAAATGAATTTCCACACAAGTTTTAAAACAAATACGTTTTTTGGCTCTCATCGACACAGTTGACTATATTAATTTTCTGCACAGAATCTCTGCAACAAGTTGGTGTAATTAACTGTGTAGAAGCCTCGAAGGGAACACTCAAATTCCTTCATACACGAAATGTAGCATGCCGTTTGTGTTCTTTTTATAGTTTGACTAATCTTTGTATTGATGAACCACACGGCATCACTGAATCTTGCATGCTAATAATAATTTTCCCTTCCCAAAGTCGCTGCAGATGGCTTCGGGTACCATGAATTTAGTCTCTCAGTCCTGAGAGTCAAGATCCTTCAAACTAATTTAACCAAGCCTTAGATAGTCGCAACGGAAAAGCATGATATTAGATAATATTAATCTATTATGTATTATCTCTAAGAATTAAAAGATGTTTACTGTGCTTGCACAGGCTTATGCAAATCGAGGAGACCTTTGAGAGAACTCGAGAGCAGATCAGTGCAAGCTTGAGACCAAAGGTCGAGGGTTGCTTCTGCTCTCGAATTTTCACAAACGTCTCTGAGGTTTGCATAAGCCAGTGCAAACACGAAAAACATCTTTTATTTCGTTTGTAAAATAATAATAATGTAAAAAAGACAAACATTTTAATTTTTCCTCTAAAATGTATTCATGATCGATTTGCAAATTCTCTTTGACTGATTGATTGTTATGATTGAATTGATTAGTTGAGCTCAGATGTGATTTGCACAGGCTTATGCAAATAAAGATATAGACCAATCGCCGCACGTGTTTTATTGTGTTTATTTTATAAAAGGTGTTGATGGCACAAATAATGAGACAGAGAAGACCATGATTTAAGTTTGATGAATATTGTGATCAATGAAAGAAAGAATTATGCTGAGCCCAGGCAAGCTCAAACTTAGAATAGAGAATATAGCGTTCACAGGCCACACGTCTTGATCAGAAACGGAATCAAGATCAGCCTAGAGAAAATGAGGGGGAACATGCAAATGCCTACCCGACATTGTTAGAAGAAGTACAACAGTTTCATGAATTATTTCATCAAATTTCTCTCCTTAAATTTAACCACCATGGAACCCATTCTTAAACTTTGTTAAAAGTAATAAAAAGGCCTTTATACAAACCATTAAAAATTAGAAGCAGGAATTTGCTGTGGTTTTTAACAATGCTCCTTAAATAAATTTTGTGTATATAAATCCAAACATAAATAAATGTAATGTAAACAGCTCTTTTGTCGTTACGCGATTTTGTTTCTGGTCATTACTTAATGCTTTTTAACGCATTGAAGAAATACAACCGTACAGTCTTATCAAAACATGTTTAACAAACTTCTCTTTGCTTGGCTCCTTGTATTTGTGCCACTTGTTTTTCACAATCTTTAAAACTACAGATTATACAGAACAAGACATAATTTAAGTTAAGCTTTTACTAAATTCCATATAGAACATAAATACTTTAAGTGAAGAAAGTGTTAGATTTTGTAAACCACAGCCAAGTGACTTGATTTGTCATGCTTGATTATTATATATTTGAAAATAATTAAATTCAATCCATACATAAATTCCAACAAGCCTTAACTACTCTATTTTCAATTTATACTTCGAAAGAGCCAAATATTTTTATTAGTTATTGTGCTGCTATTTTGATTCGTATTGAGACGTTTCAAGACATCAAAATGCAAGCTTTATTTGACATATGCCATGGCATAGACTTCTCAGGAATTCGTGGTGGATTGTATATGTATACAGGTTTACAAGATTCATTTAGGAACTGCAAAATATTTGCTTGATAATTGTGTGTTTGATAATTGTAATGAAATTTATTTCAACATTGTATTGACGTCAATTGGACGACAATTTCCCTACTTGGTTCAAAATATTTTAAGTTGTGTGCTTAATGCTCGCGTGTTGTTTGTTTTTTGACTGAATACATGACAAAAACGACATGCCTTGTTTTCTTCTAAAATTGTTACTGAGTCAGTATCTCTTGAGTCAAAACAATGAACAGATCGAATAATTCCAAGGTCTTTTTTCTATAAGTTACTAAACAAACATATGCATGCACATTTATGATTAAATAATTTGCAAAAATGAGACTTTGCTCTATAGATACGTTGATTGACGAACGCCAAAAAGCTGAGAGACAGAAAGACGCATTTTAGACTGAACAGTGGACAGGTAGATTTTATAAACTTACAAATTTTGATTGCTTATTAGTTTCAGTATGGCTTCTCTTGTAATGCAAACAGTTCCGTTGTGGTATTTGACTCTGTAAGCGAATTCAATAACGTCTGAATATTACATTATTTTTCATTTTGAGATTTGCTTTTTGCCAACTTTCAAGATGGAGTGACACGGTAGTTAGACATCTAGAGGATTGGGTTCTAAATCATTGACATAAACCAGAAATAATTCGTGATATAGTCTGAAAATTTCATTATCTAAAAATTATTTCAGCATTATATTAGTAATGTATAAGTGTAAAGACATTATATAGAAACACTCTATTAATGCTGTTGTATTGCTGGAATTTTTCAGTTGCATTCTTTGAACAAACAATTACAGATTCAAGTGCGAGCAAGTAGCGTTCAGAAAGATCTTCAAGAATGAACAAGGTTAATAGTTTATGTTGATGTTGGTTCAGAGATACGTGCTTTGAAAGAATTACGAAAGAAACAAGAAAAATGAGCGTTAATTTGCAATAAAATATTTTTAATGTTATGACTGTTCTCCAATGGCGTCAAAGTACTTCAAATCATTTACATTCAACTATTGTTCATTTCAGTATTTTTTATTTTTAAGAAGATAAAAGGTTTTAGCTTCTCTGTTTTTTCTCACTCTATTTTAGTAACACAACTTAACACAACTTGTAACCGTACGTGTGAAATTTTTGGTATACCTTTGGAAAATTCTTCTCCAGACGTTATTTAACATACCTGTTTTATTTCTGAATCTACCAGAATGCAAACACTTCACTTATTATGCATTCTTCATACTGAATATCAAACCAGTAATTTCTGTCGAGCAGGCTAGTTGTACAAATATCTTTCCAACTCGTTTTTTCGTTTAAATTTTATTTTTGCATTTAATATTACGTTAACACATTAACGTATTTCGTAATTCTTAAAAATAATAAATGCTGGATAGATCGATGTACAAATTTTTTTTCACGAAGTTGCTGCTGTCACCATGACAACAACGTGTTTATCAATAAGTTCAATATCAAAATTTTTGTGGAGATGTATTTGTAGCTTATATGTTAACTTTACTACTCTTTGGTTTATACACTACGGCCATTCAAAATGTATGTATGAGTTGTATTATCTGTATACAAGAACAAAACGTTTATGTAATATACTTTTGTAATTTAAAATACTTGATTCATGATAGCCAAAAGCAATTATACCAGTGTATTTACAAGAAATCCTCTTTAAATCCTTTTATCAGTTTATATGTAATGCCAATGCGATTGCTAATTGAGCAGTGTTTTCATGGAGAAATGAAAAATGCAGAAGCAACAGTTTCTTTACAATACTAACGTTCAGCAATAGGCAATCTGTACAACAAATATATATGAAGCACAGAAGCAAGAAAAAATCTGAAATGAGATAATTGAAATAATAAAGTCTATAAAATTGTTTTTTTTAATTGAGTTTATACACCTTTGATTTAGAAAATTAAATATTCAGGTATGAATGGTGCTAAAGGAAGTTGTCGTCAGTATAAAGTTATAGAAATGTTAATGAAAGTTAAAAACATACATGCTTAAACGAAAGTGCTGCAAAACAGCCTTCAAAATTGCGATAAATTCATTTTGTTTTTTAAGGATAACCAAAAATAATTAATTCATTTTTCAATCAGAATTGTGACCAGGGATATACCGGGCGGAAAGCGAACTTTAAATATAAATATCAAAGCCCAGCAAAGTGCTTTTAAAAAAGCCATTTAATGCATGAAAAAGAAATATTTATTTAAAAGTGTAACGTTTCGTCTTGACTCTCAAGACATCATCAGACAATCTATACTTGTAATTCAATACTGTCTGATGATAACTTGAGAGTCAAGACAAAACGTTACACTTTTAAATAAATATTCCTTGTTCAATGTTTAATTTTTATTTGATGGAGTATTAGAATAAAATTGCAAACTTTGATGCCATTTGAAGGTACCCTAGTGTAAAAAGTAGTGATATATCAACAAAAATGTATTCTCAAAACTTAATATACCTGCTTTATTGTTTAACATACCAGAAAGTTAACACTTGACTTATAATAAATAATTAATGATGTGAAGGTATTATTGTGCCTTTTATAAATAACAGAACGATCGCCTAAAGAACAGTTATCTTGATTGAAGATTTGCTTCAGGTACATTTTCCATTCTGTTTTGATTTTCAGCTCTTCTTTTATGTTGATTCATAAGCATATTAGAAAGTTCTAGCGAATACTATAAAACCTTCTTGCTCTTATCTCCATGACGATAACATTTTATTATTAGCGACTGCACAATTTCGTTGGACGGTATAGAATTCTGCACTTAAGTTGACAAATGCATAACAACAAAGAACTTTTCTGATCTTTTTGTTTTTGAGTTTCTAAATGCACGACTGTCTTTATCTGATTACAAAAGCGAATTGTGTTTTGAATAAATTTTCGAAGAAACATACATACATAAGTGTACACACTTGGATAATGAAAGGCAGAACCCAATAAAACAGTCCAGAATATTACAATTCAGTAGTAGGACGAATTGTAATTCAAAAAACGATTTTTATTGAATTTGAGCATAAAAAACCAGCTATATTATTAATTTAAGTAAAAATTACTCTTAATCAAGTATTTCATAGTTTAACAGCATTTTTGGTCAATATTACGTGACAAAAAAATTGTATGATTTTTATTTAGAGCCTTGAAGGTTTTAACTTTTGCTGTTCGCATATTTTATGAATCACAAAGAGATGTTCTGGTATTCTGCATTTCCTAAATAAAATCTATTCGAAGTTATCCAGTAATGTTGGCGAGAAATTGTCAAAAAGTTTTGTAAAAAACATAGTTCTCTAGTGAATATAAATTCAATCTGCTGCAAAAGTTCAGTTTACTTCATGCTCATAGTCAAAAATGAAGTGGCTATCACAATTTAAGAATAAATTATTCGTAATACTTCAAGATTTGCTGAAACAATTTAATTAATCAAAGATACTTAGCAGGAAAAACATGTTATCGTCATCAAGTTGTTAAGAATTTTACATTTTTCAAAACACATAAATAGAGCTTCCCCTATCTTGTCTGCACGCAGAGTTTTTGCTTTGGCTTTAGATATTTTACAAGATGGCAAACTTTACTTGTGCACTGTTGGTAATTGGTTGCATTGGTGCTCTCATGCAAGAGTAAGTTTTAAATTTGTTTTAAATTTACTGAATGTAAATTTTTGTAATAAACATATTTTAGGTTTTAAAGGCGGTGAAATAATACATATTTGTAATATATGTCGTATAAAAGATGATTTTATTGTAATTTGTATTACTTTGTTTCTATTTCTGTATAGAGCGAGAGCAAACAATGTAAAAGATCATTCAAAAAAGGATTTCTTATCAATAAGCTTCGACATAAAACGCACTTTGAAATCTGGACACAGAAATGTAACATTTAAGACACAAATTGCATTTATAAAAGCACAAATAGCTGCACTTCAAGCATATCACAAAAAACTTGGCACACAAAACAAAGACCTTGAAACATTTAAGATAGAGCTTCAATCCAAAATTAACCAAACACATACACAAAGGGGTAAGCTTCTGAAGTTACAGAAACAAATAAAGAAGTTTGAAATTAAAATGATTAAGCTATCATTACAAATGAAAACACTTGAAGCAAAAATAGCAACTGCCCAAACGGAGCTAAAACGTCTTGAAAAACAATTTAAAAAGCTTTTCAAGAATAATAAAAATCTCATGCAAACCCAAATAAAAGGTAAGAATTATTTCAAGAAGACAAGGGAAAGAATATAACTGTATATTGTCATACGTTTATAAGTTATAAGCTCTGTAAGAAAAGAAGGGCTCGAATTTGAATTCCCTCTTTATCATTGATCTGAAGGAAAAGACTGTGCAGATCTTTACGAAAAAGGTGAAAAAAAGAACGGAGTGTATCAAATTGATCCAGATGGCCGAGGTTGTTTCGATGTTTTCTGTGATATGAAGACATCTGGTGGAGGTTGGACTGTGTTTCAAAGACGTCAAGATGGAAGTGTAAGCTTCTATCGAGGTTGGAAGGACTATAAACAAGGATTTGGTAATCTTAGTTCAGAGTTCTGGCTTGGATTGGATAAAATATACCGTTTAACATCTTCAAGGAGAAATAAACTTCGTGTTGACCTAGGAGACTGGTCAGGAAACAAAGCTTATGCTGAATATGATTATTTTGCTGTAAAGAACGAAACACACAAATATCAGTTGAGTATTGGTGCATATTCTGGTGAGTCAATAAGTAAATATAAACATTTAATGGACAAATTTCTAAGCAATATTTTGATATAAGCATTATACGTTGGAATGATTCGAGTGATTCCAGTTTGCGTGGACAGGTCTGCAATTTTGGGATAAACATAGGTATTTTAACGGTTGACTTTGAGCGGAAGTCTTATTAGATCTTAAAAAATATAATCAATTTGATCTTACAAACTTACAACAAAATACATTGAACAACCATAAAAAACCATTTTGTTGTTTGAACCCTTAGGTTGCACCCTACGACAACATTTTTTGACTTACAATAAGAGATCATTCAAGGGTTGTGGTTACCGTATCATTAAGATCAAATAAAAATTCAATTGATGCTTTGTAAACAAGTAATGTGCATGCGCCTAAACATCGTGGATTAAAACATTGCTAAATTATGTGGACTTAAATGAACATTAAAACCTTTTACATAGAATGCATGCAGGCCTGTAGTATATGATTGTAAATTCAGACCTCCATTCCCAGATTACTTTTATATGTATAAATAAAAAAAATGATAGCATAATGCTCTATCCAACAACTACAAACAATAACGACCTTATCTAACAACTTTGAAAAATTAACCTTCCACTCCTCTTCCTTGTCAACAAAACAAGTCTACTCAAAAGCAGAGAGCATTACGTTACAAGTCCCAGAGTTATACTCTGCTATACCGGTCACAAGTCTGGGACTTGTAACGCAAGGCTCTCTGCTTTTGAGTAGACTTGTCTTGTTTACAAGAAAGAGGAGTGGAAGGTCAATTTTTCAAATGTTGTTAGATAAGGTTATTTTTTGTAGTTGTTGGATAGAGCATTATGCTATCATTTTTTTTCTTTAATAACATTCCAACTATTTAACCATATAAATATGTACAAATATATGTAATATATTTATACATATATAAACGTTACTGAAATTCATTCAGGTTTACTTGGATAAAGTTACATAATAAAGAATGAAAAACATAAATATAAATTAAGTCTCGGACAACACTACAGGTATATCATCAAGTCAATAAAGAATGTTAAAGGTCTATTATAATAAAAATTAAATACCATTTATTACTCAACATAGGAGTGAGAACAATGATATAAGGCTGGATGTAGAAATAATGTTCTGGGAAATGAGAGTAGGATCAAAGTCAAAGTCTTGACAAATTTTACCTTTGCAATTTATTTATTCCATTTTGAAACAGGATTTACAGCAAGTTGTTAAATAAGTTAGCTATAACAACTTTATGACAAACGGTAACAATATTATAATGTGATTGTGGTTGGATCTCCCACATGCACCAGAATATGTGAAATGAAAACTCAGTGTTATATAACATATTTTAACACTTACATCAGTCCTTCCTCTTTTACTACATAAAATAAAAAAAACTGATTGGCAAATCTCACAAAAGCCCCCAAAAAACCGCTATAAAAACCTTGCACCAATGACATAAAACCCTTTTTGGGGGAGTTTCTGCAAGTTCAAAAGAATTCTATAACTTCATTAAATGCGATTTTTGAAATGTATTACTTTTCTTAAGAAATGCTGGAAATTCATTATCACCAAAAATTGGATCTGACTCATATACAATGTCAAAGTCTGTACAAACAGTGACATTTGTAGCAAACAAGACTGTTCTTCAACAGCAGAATTGTTTTATAATACACAAACATAATTTCCTTTTCAACAAATGCTTCACCAAATAGAAGCCTATACAGTTCTGCATTAGAGTTAAACTTTAACTATAATCACAGTTTCACAAGCAATAAAGAATTCAACATTAGATTAATACAATATAAGAGCTACTGCATCTAACAAATATTTTAAATTTTCCAGCAAAAACCTTTGTAATCTGTCTGCATTAAATTTTTATGCCAGGATCACATTGCAAAATATGTACTACCTAAGCAAAATTTCATGATTACAGTGCTTCAAAACAAAACTTGGATAAAACTGATTTAATGACAGGCACAGTTTAAGTCAAAATAAATTATAGCAGTTCAATTGTAAATTTTAGTTTTAGAGTAAGATTATTAGTAATGACTTTCTAAAGAATATATTTTTACCAGTTAAGTCGCCTCTACGTTTTCTAAATGTAAATATAACCAAAAATGAGCTGCAGTGATTTATTTTTACATACCTTATACCTGTCAAAGTATTGATTTAAATCTGGAAATATGTGTAGTAACGTGTTTTCCCGACCAAGAATATGCAACCGAAATGTCGAGTATTTTCTTTATCGCTGGTAAATTATAAGCAATGAAAACAAACATCTTGGTGCTGTTGGTGGAAACTGCGAGAATATACGTTCACATACGTAAAAATGCCTTGCAGTGGGTCACAATTAGTTTCAAAGCACGAACTAGTCAACTGCGAATGTAGCTCAAATCCACGAAATTGAGTTTGGTTTGCAGTAATTATTCACAAAAACGCCAAAAGCTTTATTGTGGTTTCCGATATATTTAAAACTTCCATTAAACAACACAGAATTTCTTTATTCTTTTGCTCATTTAGCTAATTTCACACAGTTTTATTAAAAGTTTAACTGTCAAGTAGTCACGAAAATGGCGGCTCCGCGCTCGCCCCAGACCCGTTGTCCTACCTCAGGCACCGAACGCATTAAAGACAAAAGAAAATGACATAAAATTCCACATTATCTTTTGTTTTAAATGCATTCGGCTTATGTAAAACGCGACGTATGAAACAGGCCAAAGCAAACAAATTTTGAAAATCTATAATACAATAAGAATCAGGCCAGGTACCAATTGAGATCAATGTGAATAGACTGGATAGAGAAAAAATTTCAGGGCAATGAAGGTGGGATGAAGAAACTTAAAAAGCCTTCATGACATGTAGCTAATTCGTAGAAAACTTTTACTTTTGCAATTTATTTGATTTGGAGAAGGATAAATGGTTTAATAAATTAGTAACAACAACTATAATACCAGCGAGTACATTGTGCATGATTGTGGTTGGAACTTCCGCTAACATTAACCAGTAAAATTCGATTTTAGATTTGTATAAATCTAAATAATGAGTATGCGACTGAATATTATCTAATGAAAATTCAGGATTGTAATATGTTTTGGTATTTATGCCACTTCTTTTTTATTCTCTAAATTAAATGAAAAAACTAATTGACAAATCTCATAAAAGCCTGCTAAACAAATGACCATTGAAAAACATCTTAAAATCGTCTATAAACGACATAAAACACGTGTTGGGGATTTTCTGCTAGTTCTTAAGGAGAATTTTATGATAACATTAGTTAAATGACGTAAAATTTTTCTGAGCAAAATTACTTTTCTTAGGAAATGCTAGGGATTCATTATCTTATCATAATGGCATGGCATTTTCAACCAAAGATTCAGATAATGATAAAATTAGTGGAAACTGCGCCATTCGCGACAAAGGTGCTTGGTGGTATAATGGTTGTCATCAATCTAACCTGAATGGACACTACTATAGTGGAGCATACAACAGTTGGAGTAGTGTGAGTTGGTATAATTGGAAATATAACTATAAATCCTTAAAGTTTACTGAGATGAAAATGAAAACCACATAGAATTTTTAAATATTGTGTTTCTTAACTTTCATGAATATATCTTATGAAACTTCGCATAATATTGACATTTGATAACTATTCTTTCAATAGAACATTTACAATCATCATTCATTTAAAGGAGCGTAGAAAAAATTGTTGAAAAATGTTGTGGTAAAATAATAAATTTATATTTTTCCACAAATGATGGCAGATTTAATGCTATAGTTTTGCAGTGACGACTTTTCTAACATTTCTTTGACGTTTGCGGTGAAAGTTAATTGCAAAAAATTTTGATGTTTTTTGCCTCGCTCTCACGCCATCTTGGATTTATCATGCATGTTATGCGACTATCTGATATATCATCTGGTTTGTCATGAAGCAATCTTGTTCCCTCCGAAGAGAATGGTTGCACATAACCTAGAGACAACACAGTGTGTCTAAATGCTTGTTGCTTAGATAGAGTTAAACCGCTAGATTATTCATTTGAAAATTTGATTAGAAATTCACACACAAGTGAACGCAGTCATACACACCTTACATTTAAGCCATTACTGTTAGTAATTAGAAAATCAAAAAGAAAGCCCGTTATTCAAGAAGACTTTGAATGCAGACGTAAACAAACAATTGTGTTGGTGGAGATAATTTACATACATGCTACATCTGAATGATATTCTTTCTAATCACCAAAAAATGAATTTCTCGATCATCAGCAACTTGTGACGGGCTCAAAATTCACCCTAAACATCACAATGGATTTTACCATTATCATGACGCAACTTGTCTCCAGGTTTCTCCTCGGAAAAATGCCTGAAATGATTTAAGCATTCCATTCGAAAAAGGGCGTATTCCTGAAAGAAAAAGAGAAGTAATCAAGCAGATGAAGACATATTAACTACACATCAACTTTAGCCTTAAGGAGGTCCATAACATCATCCCATTATAATAAAAAGGCAATTTTATCAAAACAAAATTTACAAAGGAGTAATTAAGAAAATATTTACTGCAAAAATGTAAACAAGTTTGTGTACATGTTAGTGGAGAAATTCAATGTTCTACATGGACGCCGAAAAGTCAAAAATAGGGGGGGGGGGAATTCATACATGTGTGTTTTAGCTGATTACTTTCTTTTGAAATCAACTGTTTTTTAGGAGATGTGACTACGAATATATGAATATTCTCCCCCCTTCAATTATCGACGTTCCGAAGTCCCTGACGTTCTACAATACACGAATTAAATTGCACGCAAATAACTTTGTTTGTCTGTTTGAGTTTTAATAAAATTTCCTATGAACATATTTTACTGAAAAAAAGAGAGAAATGTTTCTTATCCATCATTTATAAAACAACAACAATATAAAACGTGTACGTAGCTTGGTGTACAGCTGGGTTTTCTTTAGCCTGTGCAAATGTGTAAGTCGACCTGAGCCACTGAGCTAAAATACATGGAACGCTACCAGTAATAGAAAAGCCTAATAATTTCTTGAAGCCAAATTTTAAACCCAGACACGCGTGTGTAGTCAATCAATTTTCACTCCGCGATCGAATCTCGAAACACTACACACGCGTATCTGGTGTAAAATCTCGCGTGTCTGGGTCTAAGATTTGGCTTTAATTATTTTCTTAAGGTAGCGTTCCATGTATTTTTAGTTTAAGAATCTGAGCTTAATTAGTTAAATCAATTAAAGAGAATTTAGAAATTAATCATCAATACATGTAAAAAGAAAATTAAAAAATTTTCTTTTAAACTCATTTGTTTCGATTATAGTTGTTTTATAGAAGAAACAAAACGTTTTTTGCAAAACAACTTTTAATTCAAATAATACTGGGCATGTGTGATAAAAGGCTTGTAACTCACAGTTCTTTTTAAGAACTGTTTGAACTACCATCATGCAGTAAGTGTAGTATTTGCGTAACATTTCTTATATAGGTGGAGGTTTGCACGTAAGTATTTCTCCAGATATTTTCTGACTCTTCTTAATACCTTATATGACAGATTAATAAAACACACTCAAAATCCCTAGCATGGTTACTACTGAGGATGGGGTTTACTTTATAGTGATTTGATTCTATAAATTCAAACACAAAATTCTTCTTGTAAACTTATAAGAAATCTTCGCAAAGTGTTACGTTGCTTTTACGTTTGTTCACAATGCAACAATACAACAAAGAAAAAGGCAATTCAGTAACGTGATAACCAAAATTGATCGAGGATTTATAACTTTGAAGAATTGAAAACATCGCCCAAAAGAAATGAGAAAGAAGAGACAATCTTTAGAAGAAAAGGAAAACAAAGCTGAATGATGTTATTTCAGAAATTATTTAAAACATACGTAAAATTAAAACATTTATTCGCAGAAAGACAAAACCGACACCAATATGGAAGAACTTGCGAACAATGGCTAAAAGAGTACTTGAATAGGCGATGTAATAAAAAAGAGAATTGCTTTCAAAAGTTATGTATTAATTGCATCAGTTATAACTTGACAAGCCCTAGGTATACTTAAAACTGACCTAAATGGTGTCAGTAAACTCTAAACTGACTGAACTGAACCTTAAATAAACGAGAACTACGTCAGTCAATCAGTCAAGACATACGTACCCATAGAAACCTAAAAAAGAATTTTAAAAATTTATCTTACGCTGTATTATTATAAGAGGACGATTGTTATAAAATTTACCTGTCAGCTTCGTCAATAACTTTTTCAATCTCGTCTAACGTGATTTCATTCGTTTCATTATAAGCTTGTAAATACGTACGGACGAAAAGTGCCTGAAATATCGAAGAGTTTAGGTGATATAAAAACAGCAGACCTTTGGGGCGGATAAAAAAGCAGCTTTTGTGCAAATTTTTATAAGATTGTTAAAAACACAAATATTTGCGTGATTTTCGACCTGGAATACATAATACCTCCAGCAGCTAAACACCGAGGGAAAAAGCTATACGGCAAAACACCGAGGGAAAAAGCTATACGACAAAACACCGAGGGAAAAAGCTATACGGCAAAACACCGAGGGAAAAAGCTTTACGACAAAACACCGAGAGAAAAACATATATACGGCAAAACACCGAGGGAAAAAGCTATACGGCAAAACACCGAGGGAAAAAGTTTTACGACAAACACCGAGAGAAAACATATATACGGCAAAACACCGAGGGAAAAAGCTATACGGTAAAACACCGAGGAAAAACATATACGGCAAAACACCGAGGGAAAAATATATACGTCAAAACACCGAGGGAAAAAGCTATATACGGTAAAACACCGAGGGAAAAATATATATACGTCAAAACACCGAGGGAAAAACATATATACCACAAACACCGAGGAAAAAGCTATACGGCAAACGCTGTATAAACGCTAGATTTTTGCACTCAAACGCTGTTAGGAAATCCTGTACATCTTCATCCTCAACTGCAAGAGAATGAGAAAGTACATTTTCAACCACACTAGACTCAGTGGTCGAAATATACATCATAAAGGAACTCAGGTACATATCTTCTGAGACATAATCTTCGCCAAAAAGACAGGAGCACAAGAAAACGCTAGAAATTTTGATTCGAAAATAGCGCTCTTGAGTGTAACCTTTCACAAAAATTCTAGCTATGGCTTGCCACTTCTCTGGGACTCGTTCATCCTCGCCTAACATGAAATTATTATATATTTCATTCCAAAACAGAGAAAATGCATCCCTGACAACGCTGACTCCTTCGACCTTTTCCTCAAAACCTCTAGAATCTATCATCTTGTCATCCACACACTTCTTTAAAATATCACCTTTTTCAAAATAGTGCAGCAAGTCAGCTTTCACATTACAACGATGAATAAGCAACACTTCTCGCTCCATAACCTCATTTGCCATACTTTCTGGGACAAAAGTAGCCCTTTCAGAACTTTCACTTGCAATGTACAACACTTAATATAGTAAAGATGGGTGAAAAGCCACAACATTTCTGACTGTTCTATTTTCAAATTCGACTCATCCACTTTCTTTGAATGAATTCCCAATTGTATTTTACACCATCATCACAATACCCACTCATCATTTCATGAAATATTACTTGAACATCAAATTAGTGGATACTTTTCTTCTACACTATGTAACTAGAACATCTTTTTCGTAAAAAGACTAACAAGTACAAGTAGACTATATAGTACTCACAAACCTTGGAAAGTATTCATCTCAAAAGCATCACAATTTTGGAGGTTCTCTAGTGCATGTGGTGTTAAAGTTGCATCATCAATAGATGACAGTCCAACCAAAGTTGTGGAATGTGATTCTTCTCCAAGCTGTGGTTCTGTGCACAATGATTTATTTTGAGTCTTTGTTAGTCTCATATCTTCCAAATCTAATTGTTCTTCCACAACCTCATCAACTATTTCATTAGCAACTACAAAACAAATATTTGTATTTTTATCAAATATGTAATTAATTTAAATAAAGATTGTTGCATAACACACTTTTGCTGATTTCCTTATGCACTCATATTGGAATTCTCAAGTATAACATCTAAATGAATGTTGCCTTTTACAGTATTAATGTGTAATATTTAATATTAGCTCCTTATAAAGTAAGTGTTTAATTTTATTTGTATCATGATAGTTTCATAAAATTAACCAAATGGTGCAAAAATCATTATATACTTGACCTTACAGAATTACTTTGATTACTAAATGCTTATAATTAGGCACTAGTCAACATTAATAAATTGCCTACGCATTAACAAAGTGTTTTTAATAATTAATAGAAAACCTCTTACTTTCCTAATCCCAAGTCTTGCTAACATGCAAATTGACATGACTGCATGGCCTGCCAAGGGACTCCTTGTACTTTTCTACAGAAAATGATTCTGTTGTTCCTGGTAAATAGAGAACTAACTCCATATCTAGGTACAACAAAACCCATTCGGAACTTTTATCATGGAGTTGCTTATTGTGAGCCAGTTGCTTTTCCACCCTAGAGTTTTTATGACAACATGCGAATCACAATTTTTTACATCAATAGGAAAAAGTGAGCCTTGCTTAATTGTCAAATGATCCCCATCCAGCTCAATAATTCCAATGTTTATCTGGGGTGGAAAAAATATCCAGTTACAAGGTGTTCATGACCTGCCATCACAAAATGTTTGATAAAGAATGAAAAAATAATTAGACATTTTAATGGAAAATACTATTCCATCCTTCTCCATAAAAACTTGAGGCCTGATTTTTAAAGCATGCAACAAAAGTATTATTGCGTTAATACGAATGACTGCAAAAAAAACAAATTTCGTATAGCAGCATTTTATATTTCAGCTTAAATAGGTGGGAATTACATAAGTAATATTTACATAAAAACAAGCATTAAATATAATTATTCACTACCATCACCCATCCTTCAAATAATTATTGACATGACCTATTTGCAGAGGTAGTAATAATCACAAACCTTGACAGTCTCATTCTTCTTCCTCTTTTTCGTGGAGACAAAACGATCTTTACGCTTCCTTGTCTCAACAGTGGCAAATGAAATATCTGCCAAATACTCTTTAAAAGTCAAAGTTTGGTGACACGAGGATCAGTAGAAGGCCCAGCTGATGTTGATGGATCACTGTTCTGCAAGGTCTTTGGTTCGTCAGACTTTCGAAGATCCATCCCACAGTTAGCACAAAAATTACCACTTGTATATAGTGAACTCCCGCATACTGTACAAAACATCGTGTTCAAGTTCACATTACCAACAGCCGGGAAAGAAAATACGAACATATACATGAACGCTAGATGTAATAAATACCTCACTAATGTTTTGTATTTATCTTACTTTCTCGAAATAAAACGAAAATATAAGAATATGACAATATTCTGCACTTCGGCAACTTTGTAAACTCAGAACACATTTGGCTGGCAAATTAACCGGATATGAATTTTGCATATTATAATTTGTGTTTGTGTATTTGAATTCGTGTTTTTGTATTTGAATTTGTGTTTGCATATTTGAATTTGTGTTTATGTATTGCACCTCTGGGCCGCCGTAAATTACTTCTAGTAATACAGTATTTTGAGATAATAATGCGTAAAATGAAAGAAATGCCCTTTACGTCGAACTTACGAAATTTGATTGCGTATGGTAATTGTTGTGCTGAACTGCTTTTGATATAAGATTCAATCAACTGACTCAAGTAGAGAACTATTTTTGGGCCAAATAACATTGCAAAGTTCGTGCTAATGCAGTTTCAATAGTTTTCTTACTCCAAAGCTTGTTTTCCAATCGAAGATGATTTCTCATTATGTTCTGAAATCGGTCAATTTACAAACTTCTCAATTCTTAGCCACTTCTACACTAAAACAAACAACTACACCAAATCACAGAAACTCTTACGATTTTCCATGTTGTATTTTGTATTTTTAGTTCATCATTTAAAAATAAAGCAATTATAATTACGATATTCACTGAAACAGCTAACATATTCATTTCAAAGAAAAGAGTTTTTTTTGACTGAGGGGTTCAATGTGTCGGTGTCTTGTCGTGCCTGATTGGTTTCTATACTGACATTTGTGGAGGTGTCTTGCGTAGAGAACTTGGCTGCACCGGTTGCTCATTTGGGTCTTGGGACTCAGATTATTCATTTTCTTTCTCAGTACGCTCTTTATCAATCTTTCCCTTCCTTTAGTGGACGCCAGATGTCTTCTGTTGCGTCTGCATATTTAGCCTTTCGAAATAACTTGGTACGACGTGGGTGCAAACTTCTGGTTACACACTCCTTTCCTTCATGTCCTGCACGTCTGGTCTGGTCGTATAAGTACTGTATCTCCCAGGTTGAGATCTATTAACGGCTTGCAGCCACGGTTGTAATATTTGGCTTGTTTTTCCTTTTGTTTGTCAACAATTTCCTGACTCGAAGGGTTAATTTTGGCTTCAATAGTTTCGTTGCCGTAGGGAGAAGCGTTTTTGTTCACATAGCCTACTATATATGTACGTGGATAAATAGTCCAGTTTAGTTTACATATCAGTGGCTTAATTATCCTCTACCAATAGCAAAATAAATAAAACAACATTACAACACCGAATCGGAATTATAAATGGTAAGGAAAGGTAATCACGTTGCTGAAACAGTTTATCGTTCTCTTAGTGAATTAAAGTCATCTCCGAATCGTTAGGAATGAAATGAGTATTTTAGAGCAAAAATCTTCAGCGTCGTTCTCGTTGACAAAGCGCGCTAAAAAGAAAAGCAATAATGCGCATGCGTATTAATTTTATATTGCAGTACCCAGCCATTGTACATAGCATGCTCGCTCTGCGATCTTCAGATGTACCGTTGTGAATATCAGTGGGACTAGTGTAGAAGATTCTGCCAGAACGTAACATCATGCAGCAAAGGAAAATATCTCAGTTTTAAAAAGGAATGATTTTTCAATCACTTTAAAAATACAAGTTCTTATTAAACGTCTTGTAAAATTGTCGTGTTGCCTACAAAGGCCAAGAGAATCGATAGAATACTTGCATATTCAACTAATTCAAGTTAGATCATCGATGTCAGGTTCTCTAAATGATCATGTTATAAATAAGGCATGAGCGTACATACACAAAGAAAAACACATGTTGTAGACTAGTGAGAAATTAATCATTTTGAGAAATATACAATAAATGAAATTACTTAATCTAATATCATTATAACGTATATATTTATAAAAGCCACGTTTGTGTTATTATGGTTCCTTTGAAAATAAAGCATGAATTAATTATCAATTTCAATAGCTTGCTGAAACCAAAAATAAGCACATCAACACAAGCTACTTTTAGAAATGAAAAATTTCGGTCAATTTAAGAGGTAGAAGTTTATAGCTACATACCTTGATGGTAGCTATGTTTCAAGTGATGTTTAGTTTTTTAGTCCTCAAGTTTTAGTCCAGATTTTCAACATCCTTATTCATGTCTATATAAGTTCATTGTTTTTGCCGTGAGTATAAACACAGAGAGATTGACAGCAGGATTACATGAGCATGCTGGCGATACGAACTTTAAATAAAACATTTTTCTCATTTTGAACAACGTTCAAAAAAAAATGTCCTGTACATTCATTGTTTTAAAGAAGAAGTTTCAAAAATTCATGTTTATAACGTTAATATGTACGTAATTGCATGTGTTCGTTATGAAACAACAACTTCCTTCAATGGACGTGCAAAGTTGATATTAACAATAAAATTGCTGTTCGAGATAATAGAGTTGTAATTACATAAAAGATAAAAGTTTCTCCGGATTTTAAATAATTTTTATTGAGCTTTCGACTCGTTGCTTCGAGCCTTCATCAGAATGAGGATATTTATTTACACGTGCTTTTAGCTTGGAGACGTTTAGAGCGTCTAATTGGATTAGTGGGTGGATTAATGTGATTGGATGGGGAAAAATGCGTTGCCATGGGTTTTGATGTATTGTTAATGTGATTGGTGTTAATAATATTAGAGTGTAGTGTTTTAGTTTTGGTGTTGTTTGTAGTTTTTTTGTCCTTTTTCTTTAGTTGTGAGTATATGATGGGTATGTCGATATGTCTGTTTATTGTGTCGTTGTCTTCACTGTACCAAGCTTCTATAAATTCGCGTGCGTGTTTAGTCTGTGCGCGTCCGAGTAGTTTAGTTTCTGTCCAGTCGAATGTGTGGTTGTTTCCGTGGGTATGTTCTGCCGGTAGTGAGTTCGGATCTCGTCGTTTTATGGCGTTTTTGTGTTCTGTGAGTCTTGTTTCAATTTTCTTAGATGTTTGTCCTATGTATTGCTTTGAACAGTCTTTGGTCAACGGCGAAATACAGCTTGTAATCCATTTTACTGCATCAAAGTATGTACACAAAATATAGTTATATTTGAAAATTATCTGTACCGAGTGCCACGTTATAAAGGTTTCTTTGTAAGTCGTGCATACAAATAAATTATTAATTACTTAATTCAATTGAGTGCTGAGAGCCTGAGACAGAATATCATAAGAAGGATACATATCACTTG